AATAAAAATCATTTAGTAAGTGTTGAGCTTTTAAATTGTTTTACAGACTGTTTCACAGGAAAGTATTCCCTTCACCTTTATTTCCTCTCTGTTTTGATTTTACCTCTTTTGAAAGGCTGTCTCTGGTCATCCTATTTGAGATATCTTTCTTCTTATTATTATTTTTTAAAACCATGGCATTTGTTTTTTTTCCTTCATAGTCAATGCTAGTGGTTACATATTAAGAGTTCATTTTCCTGATTGCTGTTTATTTCTACCACTAAACATCTATTCTGTGAGGTCAGGGATTTTGTCTTATTCTCACCATACCTAGTAGAGTGTCTGGAGCATTGTAGGTGCTCGATAAATATGTTATCCATAACTGAATGAACACACACCCCATCATATCACAAACAGCCAGTCTAACTGAAGAGAAATAGGTATTATACCTTAGAGGTAATGACACTAAAAGTGAATCCATAAATATTTTTTATTTAAATTCTTGGTTAGTCTTAGTTTGCATTTGCTGTCTATAGTCTGTATTTACTGTCTATTCTGAAGCATAAGAAGTAAATAATTCCTTAAATATTTATCATTATGTTCAATTCTTATAAAAAAAAAGTTTACAGATACATAAAACTAAACCTGAAAGAGGAGACTAGCTTGGAGTATCACAGCTGGTAAACTGCAGAGCCTGTTGTGTTGTGTGTCTTTGTTCCGAGGGATGGGTTGTTTGTTTTTCATACTTCATCCCTACAAGCTGATAAACTTCCTCTGCTGTCTGCCTTTAGACCCAATCTGAGAAATGAGAAGTGTTTGGAAAATTTTTCTCTTAGAGCCACAATTATCTGCTTGAAACACAAAAACTTCAGGCCTTCAGGCTGAATCAGCTTGCAAAAACTTCTCTGGTGGTGTACGAGCGCCATCTGATGCCCAGAGGCAGAGTGGCTCCAGCCTCAGGTTCTGGTCACAGTAACGTTACGAAATTTATGAAGTTTGGGGAATAATCACTCAGAAGACATGGAAGACATTATGAGTTAGTATGAAATTACTAATAAAATCTGAAAATACTTTTTGATGAGCAAAGGACATGGATTAGAAAGGTAAGAGAAACATACAATTAAATGTGAATCATTTCAATTACAAATTTTCTGAGGTCACATTCTGTGTCTCCCTGGTAATCCTAGAATAACGCTAAGCACATAGTAATATGTAATTTCAAAAATCAACAAATAATGAAAATAAGCATTGAGTAATATTGTAAGGCTTCACTTACAGGAATTGGAATATTCATAAAGAAAGTAAAGTAGAGGCTATGAGGGCTGGAGGAGGAAAAAGGAACAGGGAGTTATCATTTATGATAATGAAAATATTCTAGAAATTGATAGTTGTGACTACACAACACTGAGAGTACACATTCTAAACTGAACGGGCATGATGGTACCCACTTGTAATCCCAGACCTCCAGAAGCTGAGACAGGAAGATCGCAAGTATAAAACCAGCCTGAGTCACTTGATAAGAACCTGTCTCAAAATAAAAAAGGACATTTGGATACAGCTCAGTGCAAAGGCCCTGTTCGATCCTCAGGATCATGAAAACAATATATTAAAAAAGTAAATTTTCAAAGTATATTTTATTACAATAAAGAAATTTTAGATAAAAATAAGCACTTAAGAGAGCCAGTGGATCTGCCTCTGCCTGCCAGTCACTGCCACAGAAGGATCCTTACTGTGGGCAGCCAGCATGGGCAGAGAGAACCAGTAGACCCAGCTCCCACCTTCTGGGCACCACCACCAAAAGGCTTCTTCTTGTGGGCAGCCAGCAGGAGCAAGAACACGCAGCCAGGTAAGCCGCATGCACCTGTAGGCCACCATTGGAGGCCCTTGGTTCCTTCAGGCAGCCATAACCCATCAGGAGAATCAGATAAACACACCCCCATGTGCCTGCCACCATCGCAGGAGTCACACTGTAGATATGCAGGCTGAGAGAAGCAGCCCCTACCTCCACGCACCCCTGAACATTGGGGAAGCCTCAATGTAGATACACAGGTCTAAAAAAGCCTCCCCCATGCCCTGCTACCTCCCTGTAAATCTGGGGTCAGAGGAACCCAAGTGCCTGTTCCATTCCCCTGTACCACAGAGGGACAGCCAAAGTGGGAAGTGTCTGGGACCCCACAACCAGCTTGTTGGAAGGAACCCAGGAGAATGTCAAGAGGAAGGAGGAAAAGGCAATCTCAGACCTCTAGCCTACACAGAACAGGTTTGGAAGATACAGTCATGGAAGAAACGTTAAGTCATACACCTGAAATCTCTGAGAGGGTAGCAACTGAAGTAAAGAAACAACTTCATGAGACTGTAAAAGCAATAGAATCAGAAATAATGTCTCAGGTAAAAGAAGAAACCACAAACATAATGAAAGAATTGCTCAGCATATCTAAAGAATACATACATAAAAAGAGGAAAATAGGAAAATGATGGAAACATTTAATGAATAATATAGAAAGGAATTACAATGCATGAAACAGATTCAAAGAAATATCCAGGAAAGTAAAAAGTCAATTGAAAGCTGATAAAACTGCTTGAAAGAGACTAAAGATAGACTTTCAAACCTTGAAGAAAGAATTGCAGCTAGCAATTGTTAAAGGAAAGATCTCTTTAAAATAACAAGGAATCAGAAAATAATAATTCAGTGGCTGCAAGATGATGCAAAGAAGTATAATTTAAGAGTGATAGATATCAGTAAAGAAGCAGGGTTCAACACAAATGAAATTAAAAGACTACTTACAGAAGTAATAGCAGAAAACTTCCTAAACATGGGGGAAAGATCTGGCATGCAGATAAATGAGGCATACAGGACTCCAACCAAAATAAATCCACACCCAGACATATAATAATCGAGATCCCATAAATTCAGCATGAGAACAAAATATTAAAAGCTATTGGGGAAAATAAACAGATCACCTATAAAGGAAAACCAATCAGAATCATGGCAGACTTGTCAACACAAACCATCAAATCAAGAAGAGTTTGGAGTGAAGTGCTTCAAATACTGAAAGAAAACATCTTTCAACCCAGATTGATGTACCCTGCAACATTATCTTTCAAAATTGATGGAAAAATAAGATACTTCCACAGAAAGAACAACTGAAGGAATTCATGACCATCAAACCAACCCTACAGAGAGTGCTAACGGGTATTCTAGAGAGAGATAAAGCTAACCATGGTTCCAGGAACAGCAGCAGAGGAGGATCACCAAAGAAGACAGGCAACTGAATAAAAGGGAAAAGTGGAGGGCCACCAACAGGAGCATAGCAGGGCAGAGACAAACCAATGTATGCTGGTTGTAACCATTAATGTAGATGGCCTCAGGTCAGCAATAAAAAGAAACAGGGAGAGTGGATCAAGAAACAGGATTTATTAATATACTGGAATGCAGTTTAAAAGAATAACGAGAAAAACTGCACAGGTTTGCAAGGTAGGGTCAAAAGACAAGAGCCTTTGAGAGCTTTCATCTCAGGTATCTTACATGCAATCTGGCTACCTCAGCCTTCTGAGGTCTCATTTTCCATAAAGTGATGAAACCAGATGATACCTGACCTCTACCAGCTCTACAACTCTATAGTTCTAAGGCTTTTTTCTAAATAGTTCTATTAAGTACAAGGAAGAAAATGCAGTTTCCAATTTCTTTTGCCATTGCTACTATTTTATAGGCTCTCCACTTTCTTCTGTCTCCTTCTAAGAGAAATAGTGATCCAAAGTGAATGTATCAATTTGCTGAAGTTAGTGAAGGGTTGGAGAAGAGAACACTTGTAGCTTTCATGGACAATATAAAATCACTAAGTTTTTAAAACGTTTTTGAAAGAAATAATACTCTACTAATTTTCAAATGATCAATGTCTCAACTATAGTCATGAGAATCAAGTTATATAGCAACAGTAACTATTTTCCTTTTTCAAGATTAATTAGATACCAAAAATCAGTCTAATTACTCCTTAATAAGAGCCAGCATGGTGGTGCACAACTATGATCCCAGAACTCAGGAGGTTGAGGCAGTAGGATCATTGAGAGTTCAAGGCCAGCCTGAGCTACCCAGTGAGTCCAGGCCAATTCTGTGCTACATAGCAAAATCCTGTCTCAAAAAAAAAAAGAATATATAAGTAAAAGAACTTTTTATAACCACTTTCTATTAAAAAGCAATGAGGAACATTCACTGGTTCTATACCTAAACTATAGTTCCTCTGTTTAAATTAAATTCATTCTACTCAGTTATTCAAAGCCCCTGTTAAGCAGAGTTCTTTAAATTTTTTCCAACATTTAAGAACATTTTATATGTCATCATGTATACCATTTTAAATTAATCAAATGACATAATATCACAGATATCTGTGTACATAAAATGGTTATGGTAGATTCCATTTTAAAAGAAGATTTTTGCCAGGGATAGCGCAATAGCTCAGTGCCTGCCTGGCAAGCATGATGAGGCCATGAGCTTAATTCCTGGTATCAAATAAATAAATAAAAATAAAAGAAAGTTTTCGGTAAAGTGATTTTTGCCTTCATGACGACAGTTACTAAGCTGAGCAATTCACTCTTCAACCTATTTGGTTTATATAAAATAAGACAGATACACCAAAAAGCCTAAAAGTACTACAGTATTAATGGGTGATGCTACCTTAGAAAATAAAGTAGCATGGAGTAACAAATGCCAGTATAGCAAAAGGAAAAAGAAAATACCACTAGAAGAACAATCAATTGCAACTTCACACTATTTCCCATCATGAAATAATATACTAGCAATATTCTAATGGAATTGCTTTCATTAAGTTTTTTCATCTTTTCCTTTTTAGATTCATAGTGTTGGATTGTTAAGCTAGCCTTGAAGTCATTACCAGGAAACTCAGAAAGTTCCAGCACCATAACATATTTTCTTTAGTGATGATAGAACGTATTTTAAGGGTGCCTAAAGGGAATCAAATGATGCTTTATATACGTAAAACCAGAAGAACAGATCTTACTCAAGATTAGAATGATAAAATACACAAAATCTTTATTAAGTGATCACATAGTAATCTGATACAATACTTCCTGATACAAGAAAATGGATTATCAACTGACATATAGCATATTTCTTAAAATCCCAAGGTAAAATAAGAATTTATAGATAAAATCCATCTACACATATTGTCATCTACCTTTTGTAACAATCCCCTCTCTATTTGGATGTCTTCTATACACCAATGTCTGGTGACTGAATCTTCACAACCATATTCTTCCTTCCCCTGGACTGTAACCCATTCCCTATAAAGTGTCTTCAAAACAACACCAACCACTACAAACTTCCCACTACTACCTAATTTTGATCTTGGTTAGCTGTTCTGAAAGAAGGCAATCAGATAAATTCACAATAAAAAGGTTCCAAGGATAACAGACTTTTTAGTATATGATCTCTCCTCTTTTCCAATCTCATGTCTCATATCTTACCACTGAGTCCCTCCTTCCCAGTCACAGTGACCTATTTTCTCACATATCCTACTTCAAAATTTTATATAGTGCTGATTAGAACTGATTGTGGGACTTAGCACACACCTGGGATACCAAATATCTAATAAAATAAGCTCTAAACAAAAATCAAGCACAGAGTGCTAAATGAATTATTTTCTACTAGACAGTGACCCAACTATCAGCCCCAATAAGCTTCAGAATGACAGCAAGGTATCTTTCAACACACACTAGGAAGCCAGGTACTTCCCAAACATAGGTACTTCTCAAACATAACTATTTCTCAAATGTAAATAGATGGCGAGGTGATATATAAAATCCAAATATATTAAAAGACCATATCAAATTCATAATTGGTTTATTAATTGTCTCCTCAACTCATAACCACAGTAAATAACTACTCCTGTAACTGAGTTCTTGAAAATGTTAGCATTGTAAAATGTATCGCATGTCAAAAAAATGTTGAGAATCTCCAGACCAGGGTTCAATAACTCCTCCAACAAGGTTTGATGTATGTAGACCACATTGTTTCAATATGTACATACGTAAGCTAACATACTTCTTTTTACAGTGATAAAATCAAAAACATTTACAAGGTATTAAGTTTTACCTATGTGCACAGGAAGAATGGCTTTACTTTGTTTATATTGGAGCCGTGAATCTAAAGTTACAAAAGGAAAATAAACAAATATGTGCTTATATACATATACTAAAGTCCATACAAAAATATATCAGTTTAATTTGTCAGGTCCCTCCATTACATATTAATCTGAAATGTTCTCTTAGCATGAATTGTCTGTCTTTACTATCAGCTAAACAGATCCACAGGACTGTTTTACACCAAATGTCCCTTCCCACCTTGCAAAAAGCCCCCACCTGGTTCATAAGGAATGACCAATAGAGAAGAATAGGTATGAATTCATCAGTAACTCTAAGGTAGATTGATAGCTTGATCTTCCTTGAATTTGGGAATCTTCTTAAATTCACTTTGCTTCCTGAAAAAAAGTTGGGCCAAGATGTGGTCTGCAGTGGCCTGGATGTAGTCATCCATGTCAAGGGTCTGCAGCTGAAGGTATAAAAACCAAAAGATGTGTCAGCACAAAATCATTGCAGTTTCTGCAGAAAGCTTATAGCTGTTGAAGCATGCACAGTACTGCTGACACTTGCTATGAACTTCTGCACATGCTCACTGTGATCACCAGTCTTTCCTTGCCACAGAGAGCTCACCCTTTCAACTCTAAGTATGGAGTCTAATGGCTAGAAGGGCTGAGGCATCTCAAGGTTTCCTTGAAAGGAACTTCTGTCCTAGTAGGAACTGGTTCACTGTGAGGAGTAGTCAGGTTTACCTTTCTTCCTATCAGCGAGGAATAATGGTGAAAGGACTACTCAGAGTTTCAAGCTCAAGGCACATGCTAAGGTAAACCCATGACCAAATAAGTGCTCTACAGCCGATACTGGTCTCCGTCCACACGGCCAAAAATCTGCCTGCCTGGACCGTATGTCCAGTAGGCTGCGTCAGACTTTCTATGTCTTTCTTTATTCCCTGTGTCACCCCCACCCTGTTCCTTAGGCTACCCCTCCTTCTCAGTCTTTTCTCAATTTCTGTGGTTCTATGTGGTTCCAAAAAAAATCCACCTCTTTCCCTCCCTCTTTCCATTCATATTCCTTGTACAAAACATACTGTTCTTATAAACCTTTCCCATTACTCCATTTGGGTAATGGGGAACTATCATCACTGACAACGTGTATTATACACTCTAAGGGCAGGGATAGGAATAAAAAATTCCTCCTACCAAAAATTCTAATTCATTCCTTTCCACGCTGTTATAAATCACTCTATAATTGTTTCTTTGCACTTAAAAACTATATTTCTATCTCTTCTTAAAATACTTTTAACCTTTTATTTTTGGCTTATATTTAATGGTTTTCAATTGTCATTTTACCCTTTCATATTTTTAGTTTTAATAGTTGGGTATTAGCCTGTCATGTCACATTAAACTGCGCTTGTCTCTCATATTTATTTTAATTATTAACTTTTTATCCTTGTAAGATTTATACTTATCATTTATTCTATTCATTTTCCTTTTCTCTTTTCCTATTCTTAACTGTTTAAACTCTAACTTGCTATTTTTAAGTTGAGTTTTTCTTTTCTTGTTAATTATTGATTGGGTTGGATTTTTCTTCCTGGTTTATTCTTTAGATGGCTATAGAAAGTGGTGTCAAGAGAGTGACAGTGCCAATAAGTAGGAGTCACGGAATCCTTCTCCCAACACTCTATAGCCAACTTTAGATTTTACCTCTTCTTTACATAGATCTCCATAAATCTTATCCAGATATACCCAAAAAGGTTTTAGCTACAGAGAAATTGGTACTGGAATTTTCCAGTTTCCCCCACAGAATTTGGAATGTTATTCTGGGAAACAAGCATCACTCAGCAGGACAAAACACCTTTGGGCTGAAGCCCTGATGATGATACTACATAACCCATGTTATGTTCACCACTGCAGCCTTCACACTCTGTTTCATCCAGCTCACTCATTCCTCCACTCATTCCACACACATTTACTTACTGAGAGCCCCACTTAGTCCAGATATACTGCATAGCAGAATATTCTGCAGTTTACTAACACAGAATTCTCTCTTATATGGGCTTATTCTTACCTTGTCTCCAGTGCTGAAGGCAAGAATGAAAAGCAAATCCTCATCACATGTGTTCTTAATATAATGCTGGGTTCCAATGGGGAAAAATATCACATCTCCAATGTGGATGTTAAATTCTATAGAACCCTGAGTATTGATAATACCCACCTAAGGGAGAAAAATTATGTTTACATTAAGTACAAAAAATCAAATACTCATTTAAAATAAATATTAATAAAAGTATGTGACTAAAAATTCATGGTTATTTGAGGACTTCTCAGTGACAGTAAAGTACAGAAGATAGAGGCATCTTTCACAAAAATTCTTGTTTCAGAGACAGAGCCCCCCAAAAATCAAAATATATTTAGGTATGTATTATTCAAAATGCACTACAGAGTTCAATATGCAGGACATCATAAAAAATTCATCAATTGATTTTGGTAATTAAAATTTACAAACTTTGTTCCATATAGTTAGGCAGAGAATTTACAGTGAGGATTTCACTACCCCCATGCCCTCATTTCTATCAATCTTCTGGGAGAATAACATCTTAAGTCTTCCTTAAAAGAATTAGAGACTAAATATATATACAAATGCATACACAAACACAATAAAAGTAAAGTCTTTGAAATATAATTTGTGGAATGCTTTTGTTTATAATGTGTTTAATGCTTTTTCCTAAAGCATTAAAATATTCACCTCTAAAAACACAGAACAAATTTTTTGCTATGACATGAGTGAATTTCTGTCTGATTTTGATTCTTTCAAAATTGAGAAAGCACAGGCTAAAGAGGTTATTCCACTTGTGGATGCATTGTAGATTTCCTAAAAGAACCCCATGAAAGTCTAGAATAGACTTTCAGTGAAATCACTACATTAATATGGTACACAGCTTGGCTTTCTTTAATAGTACTCAAAAAGTGATCACACAAACTATGTTCTCTGAAGAGTTAAAGGAGGTACTAATAATTTCAGAAAACAAGTATATATGGAAGTATCCTGGACCACATGGAATATATGGACACCAAACTGATGTTTCACACCTTCTGAGCTATCCAAATTCACATTATACTGAGAAACAAAAAGCTGCTTCACTCCCACAGAGAGACCTTTCCACTTTGTGTTACCTGAGTGCAAACCTCTCAAAATCTAAGCAAGTATTCCAGACCTTCCACCCAATGTGAAAGTCTCACTCGCTACTGATACATTCTTAACTTCTCTTGCACAGATTGACTCTTTCTGACTCATCCAACTTGCAGACCATTTAACAGGGTCTGTATTGTATCATCTGTTGAAACTGTTCCCAGAAAGCTCTTGGGACTGTCATTTTATGTTACTAATGATTGTACTGAAACAATAATAACAAAAACCTCCCATTGTCTTCTTTCTGCATTTAAAGAAAACACAAAAAATGTTTACAAAGAAATTACCTTTCCACAGCCACTTATTACGTATCCCATTTCATTTGCATTAAAATGAAAATGTGGTTGTCGTAATCCATTGTTATAAATTCTAAGTGTACTCAAACTGAGAGCATTTTCATGCTTAAAAAAAAAGAAATCCAGTTATTTTGTCAGCATACTACTTAAAAACTTAATTCATGTAATCATGAAAATATTTATGCAACTCTAGGAATATGGAATTTTCTATGTCCTTAACACATACTGTATCACTTGTTCCTCACAACAGTCTTATAAGGTCTGTAGTATTAGTCTCTTCATTTTACAGATGATGAAATTAAACTCTAAATTGGCTCCAGAACTTATCTACAATTACACAATGAAGTGATACAACTAGTTTGAACCTATGGAATCTGATGCCACATGTATGCAATACGGTCAGTTGAGCATTTAAAACAAATGAAAAGTAAACTCTCACAAGTACCCAGCCTTTTTACTAAGGTAACAATCCATGTCATGGAAATTAAGTTCCTAGATCTGCATTGAAGCCTCAATTAAAAATTAACACTGATCTAGTCAACCAATGTTTGCCTAGTCTTTTCTTTCCTTTTTGTTCAAAAGAAGCCTGAATCCAATCTAAGTCTCATATTCTATCCACATGAATGCTCATCAAAACATTTTCTCAATTACCTCATTCAGGAATTCACTGAAAATTTTTTCATTGTTGCTTAGTTCACTTCCGTTCTTCCAATAATGTGCCTTTTGTATTACTCCTCCTGGAAACTGATATTCTTTTGAACCTGAATCAGATGAGGTTTAAGAAATAAAATAAAATAAAGTACTTCAAAATGGTTAAGTATAAGTACTTAACTAAAAAGGTTTCATAAAACAATATACCATACCTTTAAGGTCAAAAAAGTATCTCCACACAAGGCTGTCTGGAGATTGTACATAACTTGCATTCATAACTAGCTCTGCCAGGTTGTAAGGAAGATTAACTCCCTGATCTTCTGTTTGCTTTTGAAATTTTCTAATGAAATTAATTCCACCTTCAGGCTGAAATACACAAGAAACTACATAAGATATTTACAAGTATTGTAAAAATCCCTTAAATTTTTAGTATTTTGGTCTCAATTAGTTGATATTTTATTGTAAATGAAACTGCAATTTACATTGGTTCACATGCTTACCAACATTCCCTCTAATGAATCACTATAGTACTATACTATTAGAATACTCTAAGACAATCTCAAAAACTTATTAAACAGTTCCTGAGCACGCTACAAGTCCCTCCAGTTGCTCATCATGGGCCATCACCAATTTCTTCCCATTTGCAATGCCAGCATTCATGTGTTAACATCCACACCTGACCCTCTGTAACCAGCCCCAGCCCTGCTGTCAGTTGTCTGCTTCCCCCAGTAACACTGTAAATATTTGAAGAGGTCAAAATTAGTAATTTTTACACTATAGTTAAATAGGAATAAGAAGTTCCACTGTACTATTCCATAGTAGAATGACAATAGATAATATAATGTACTGTACATCTTAGAAAGCTAAAAGAAAAGAATCGAGAGTTTTTTCCATAGAGTAACAGTAAATGTTTGAGGAGAAAGGCTTGTTTAATCTGATTTACACATCATACAATGTCTACGTGTATCAAAATATCTCATGGTACTCCATTAACATGTACAATTTTGTTTTAAATACTCATCAAAAATTCCTTAAAGTAGCAATTCTTGAGGAAAAGTGTAGGATTCTCTGCATGAGATTAGGGGGGGAAATGATACCAGTATTTGCAACAAACTTTCCCCACAGAAAGAATCAGTAAGCTTATGATTTTTCCAGGATATAAATTACAGCAATTTTTCCATTGATTATATCACAATCTCCTGCTAACACATTGTAATTTCTTACAGAAGCCCTTCATAATGGAAAAAAAAAGTAACTCGATTTCCAAAAAAATTTGTCTTCAGTAGGAACACAAAATACACTTTTGAGTTGATTCAATTATTACCATACCTGTGTATAAAATTCTTCTGGATCTGTGCTGATTGCTTCCCTAGAAACAAATAACTCTACCATGTTTGTGACTATATTATAAGTATCTTCCTGGTGAAAGGGATTTTCAAAACTGGTACATACCTTAAGAGACCGAGAAGCAATGTCTTCAGGTGTAGAGAAAAATACATCATCAACATCCAGTGTCTGAAGTTCATCATGTGTAGAAAAGAAGAGCAAAAAAAAGCAATCTTCATTACCCACATTCTTTATCCAGTGCAGTGTATTTTTAGGGAAGAAGATTACTTGGCCAGCTGTGACATTGTATGTGGTAGCTACTTCACCACCATCATCAATCACCCCAATCCATGCTGTGCCCTGAAATATAAATAGAAAAGCATATCCCATCTTACTTTAGAGTGGTGTTTCTCAATCTTTTTTACTGCCTTTTTCTAAGGTATTATTTCAGACTTGTTTCCTATCACTACCAATCTACAAAATTTTAATATGTATGCACTTTCCAGTTGACTGCACGTGATTTTAATAATAATAATAAGAGCTAAAATTTGATGCTTTTATTATTTTAGGTATTCACACAAGCAATTCACCAGATTCAAGTCAATTATCCCTTGTATTACTCCTATGAAGCATATCTTATATTCCTCCACTTTATGGGTGTGAAAACTGAGTTTAGCAAGAATGTAAAATTTTTCCAAGGTTATTCATCTAAATCAATGGTGAAGCTGGAATTTGGACCTCCACAGTGTGGCTTCAGTGTCTGATTTCATCTGTACTATGCCACACTTTGATTCTGCTGATAGAAATTCTGTTTCCTCTCATTTTCTATTCTGATTCACATATCTGTTTTTACTCCAGGATCATGCTTTTCAGTATAGCTTGAAATCAGGTATTGCTATATATTCTGCTCTGCTTTTGTTGCCCAAAGTTGCTTTTACTATTCTGGATCTCTTCTTGCTTCATATGAATTTTAAGATTGTTGTTTCTAGATCTATAAAATATGCTGCTGGTATTTTGATTGAAACTGCATTGACTCTATATAACAGTTTTGGGAGTATGGCTATTTTGACAATATTGACTGCATATCCAGGACCAAAAAAAAAAAAAAACAGATATGTGAATCAATAGAATAGAATTGAGGATACAGAAACTTCTCCAGATACATTCAGCTACCTGATCTTCAACAAAGGGAACAATCACATACATTAGATGTAAGATAGCCTATTAAATAAGTAATACTGTAAAAATTGGTTGTGTGTAGAAGATTGAAACTGGACCCTTATTTCTCACCTTAATTCATACTAAATTAAAAACAAAATGGACCAAAGATCTAAACATTGAAACAGAAGCATTAAACCCACTGGAAAATAAAATAGTTAAAACACTTGAAGACACAGGTGTAGGAAAGTATTTTCTAAACAGAACCTCACTTGGACAAGAAATAACAGCAAAAATCAAAACATGGAATTATATCAGACTAAAAAGTTCTTGTACATCAAAAGAATCAATCACTAAGGTAAAGAGACAACCTACAGAAGAAAACAAAGCTTTTGCCAGCTATTCCTTAAATAGAGGAGTAATATCTAGGATGTATAAAGAACTCAAAAAACTTAAACCACCTAAAATTAAAGATCCAGTCAACAAATAGGCAAGATACTTCACAATGGAACAGATACTTCACAATGGAAGAAATACAAATGGTCACAAATATACAAAAAAATGCCCAACATCTCTGGCTATTATAGAAATGCCAATTAAAAAATGTTAAGATGCTATCTTACTCCAGAAAAAATGATAATCATTAAGAAATCAACAACAAATGCTGGTAAGGCTGTGGTGAAAATGGAACACTTACTGATTGTCTTCATTATGGAGACTAGTGATCATCCAATCACCTAGCTAAGTGTCTTCCTCAAAGAGTTTGCCACATTACAACAATACATGCATCACCCATAATAGCTAAATCCTCAAAACAGCCTGACTACCCACTAACAGATGACTGGATAAAGGAAATGTGCTGTCTATAATGGAATACTACTCTGCTATTAAGAAAAACAGACTAGAGCTGTTTTTAGGAAAATGGATACGCCTGGAAAATATAATGTTGAGTGAAGTAAACCAGACACACAAGTTTAAATACAATACAGTATCCCTCATTTGAGTGAGGCAAAGTACAAATAAGAGAATTATAAAGGATGGCTAGAATGGGATATGCACTCTTGTAATAGGTAAGTGGTCTAAAGGAAAAAGTGTAAGGTTTGAGGAGGAAAGGAAAAGGAGATAAATAGAATAAAAATATACTATGTACAGGATCCTAATAACCTTAATTAATGTAAACACTATAAAGTCATAATATAAGCTAAGATTAATACTATCAACAAGAATGAAAAATGGAATAGGAGAATTGGAGAAGGATGGCAAGGGGGATGGAAGGAGATTTTAAAAAAAACAAAACAAAACTGTAGTTGTACAAGTTGCCAGCCAAGAAGACTGAAAACATACTAATAAAATTTATAAAGAACTCTTCATTCTGTTTATAGACACACGTACAATTCGGATACAGCTGGGAATTAAAAAGGAAAGGTGAACCTTTAAAGGGCTCTCTCCTTGTCTGCATACCACAAAGGATGGGCATATCTATTTATTCTTATTAGGGCATCAACTATCCCAGATGTAGAGCAGAGGCAGCACTGTCTGATGGGACCTTCCAGTGGCGAATGGGTCAGGTATACCAACTACCTCAGCTGCCTTCCTGCTTTCAGGCCCACCTGCAGGGTATCCTGAAGATGCTCAGAAGCAGAAGCAGTCTGCACTAGTGATGCAACAGAGGAACTTCCTACTTATTTTATTCATTGGTTTCTTGCCCTGACTGTAAGAATCAGTGATCTCATGGTTTCCCTGGGATCTACAGAATATTCAACATCACATAGTCTACATTTAGCAACTCACATTATAAAACCTCTCTGGACTTCCAGAACAGCATCCCCACCTCACTAAGCTGGATCCCAGAGCCAACTATCCAGTCCAGCATGCTCCAGCTCAACTTCTCCAGTGTGGAGTTTGCTGTAGGAATCCCCCTCCAGGAAAGTTCACTTAACTGCATTTTCTTTCTCTTTATGCTCTGTTACTACTCAGTAATGATATAAAAGTAATCTTTAGGAGAGTATTTTCTTTTTACATATTTTATAACTACAGGGAGGGAAAAAAAGTCAGAAAACAATGACTTTGTCCCGGGCCAATCAACAACTTTATACATCCACATCCAAATATCCACCAAGACAGACAGATAGATCTTTAGAAAAGTTTCTTAATCTCTCTGAGCTTTTCATGAGAACTAAAGATTTGATTTCATGTAGATGAATTGAACCTCTCTTCCTGTTTTAAATTCTAAAACAGAATGAATTGTCCAAGTAAAAGGGTGGGGATCTCAATTAGCAATAACTAAAAAATACACCATAAAATTGGCTGCACATTTGTTACCCATATCACTCGGGTAAGACCAAACTCTGAAAGTACTGGGAAAGCTTAGTCACTACCATTTCCCCGGGACCTAGAAGACAGAAGATCAATAAGTATTTTTTGCAATTAATTAATTACTTTAAATTGAAGTAAGTACACTCATTTCACCTCTATCTATCTGTATTTCATTTGACTTTAGAATATTCTGGAAGGTCTCACCACAAAAGGGCATCCAATTGCCCTGATCTTGGAGATTCCCAACTGAACATCAGCCAACTAGTTTGCCATTCTAGTTGCTGCTTTTTTTCCTTACAAGAAAGCTGCCATTTCTTTGATCATTAGATCAGAGTTGCCAATTTTAGCTTTGGCTCAGAGGACTAAATAGTAATTTTATTTTAACAATAATGTATGAAATATAATTTCATACTAAAGAAAAAAGTTCAAAGTGATGACAAAAATAATTAAACAGGCCAATGCTCAGAGGCACTCCTAACCAATCTAATTGAATCTAATTGAAAGCCACGGTATTTATCTAGCAATTAAATAGGGTGCTAAGTAGATTTTGTAAAAATTTACAATAATACCCCAAGGACATACAACACAGGCACTTAAGAGAAGAATGCAGGCAGACCAGTTATACCTGTACCAGATAGCCATGTTCATTGGCATTGAAGTGCCAGTGAGGGGCCCGGAGGCCCTTGCTTTTTATTCTCAGGGTCCCCAGAGTCATCTGTGATCTCTGACTGTTCAAGCTGGTGCCAAAGGCCTCTTCTTCATCACTGAGATAGTCTTTGACATTATTTCTGTACCGGGCCCACTGGATTGCACCACCAGAGAACTCAAACACCTAAAAAATCATAAACAAGCAACCATTACCAAGCAGGCCATCTCCTAAGAAATGGGAGGGCACCAGGACATACCTATGGAATAAAAAGCAGGCGAAATGGAGAAGGCAGTGGTGGTAAGGTGAATTTTGAAGTTTTGAAGGCAAAGAATAGCTTGGCAATAGGTCAGGAATGACAATAGACTATGCAGTGCTACTAGGCTAAAACCTGTTAGACATAAAAAGGACACCTAGTCTGGCAAGCGAATAGAGGGCTTTCCACTTACTCATCTGAAATAGTCCCCTCCAGCTAGACACACAGGACTGTCTACTGAAGAAATTTCTGCCTGAGGCCCGCATCAACCAATAGTCCCTCTTCTCTCTTCACCTCCTTTCCTTCTGTTGCCTTTCTAAAGCAAAGCAAAGCTTAGCAACATGCAAAGGAAAGACAGTTCTGAAATAACTATTTAGAAGCTTATTTTTCCAATGTCATGATTCCTACCTTTGACTTAGGTAAATGGTTAAGAAACTGGAATTTGGGGTCAACAGCCTTTTGTACTTTGGGAACTGCTGTTGTTCTCATTGGCCAGGCAGGTTTGAGCTGAACATTTAAGCGAGGCTGGGAGTTAAGGTAAACCAAGGAGACAATCAGTACTCCTATTGCTGTGGTGATGAAGCAAGCCAACAGACACACAAGGAAAATCCTTATCCATGACCATTGCTTCTTCTTTTCCTAGGAGAAATTATGAAGTCATTATTTTCTATTTGTGATATATTAGAAATACTACTTCACAATGCAGGGGGAAAAATGAAACTTCCTACACAACTGGTAGGAATGTAGAATAGTACAACTATGGAAACCAGTGTGGAGGTACTTCAGAAAACTAAAAATGAAATTACCGTATGACACACCTGTAACACTTCTTGACACACACCCAAAGGAATTAAAGTCAGTATATTACTATAAGGGTCCCTACATACCCATGTTTATTGAAGCACAATTTACAATAACCAAAAAATTAGAACCAACCTACATGCCCATCCATGCATGACTGGATAAAGAAAATGTAACATACATACACAATGTCATATTATTCAGATGTACAGAAGAAAACTATAGCATTTTCAGGAAAATGGATGTAACTAGAGATTACTGTATTAAGCAAAATAAGTGAGATTTAGAAAGTTAAGTGTCACATGTTTTCCCTAATATGTGAAATCAGCATGGAGGAGGGGGATGAAAGTACAAAAAGACTATTAAACAAAAGGAAGTGAATAAGGATAGGGGGAAGGAGATGTAAGGCAGGATAATGGGAGAATGGATCAATCAAATATATATACTTATGAAAATAAACCAAAATGTTGTAAAACTAATAGATGTTAACAGAAAAATTTCAAACTAATAGATATTAACAAAAAATTCAAATTGTGATAAGGGAAGACAAGTTGGATGTCAGTTGAAGACATCAGAATACGGCCATCTACTAGCCAAAGGCAGAAGCCTAGAATCAAACCAACTCTGCTGACACACTTTGATGTTAGAATTCTATTATTTAACTTCCTCTCTCTCTCAAAAAAGAAAATTACCTTTATTTTTACTTTCTTAAATTTGGATTTCTACTAACTACCTAAATCTGACAAAATGAAAGAATGTATTTTGAAAATCAGACAACATTTTTTTCTCATCTCTCTGATATTGAATCAGGAAATGATCAGAACAGAAGATAGTACTTTCCCTAATAAGATATCTGGTCTATGGCATCTTTCATGAACTCTGTGTCAGGGTCCTGGGGGGAACAAATCTCTATATAGAAACAGAAATTTTGCAATGGAAAGAATCCTAAAGATTTTAGATTAACCTCTTTGTTCCATTTCCTTAAAGAGACTCAGAAAGGAGCAATGATTTTGAAAAGCCATCCTATTGTCTGTAATTGGAAGTCTAAAAAGAAGTACCCTTGATTCTGTGCTGTTTCCACTAAACCACAGCGCTACCACTGCATATCATTTGGGGATCATTGAAATTTGAATTAATTCTGGCAGTCCAACACTTTCAAAGGAAAGTTTATATTTACATAAATCTCTAAGGTCATATTTAAGTTAATTTTTTTAAAAAAGAAAAGGATAACACATAACTTCATATATCTCAAAAAGTATTACGTTACTAGGTACAATTAATATTTCTTTCTTAATTATTGGCTTTCATCAGCATTTCTCAAACCTTCTCTTACCATATTCACACTGAGAAATACCCTTCCCATTGTGACTAGTATAGCACACATATGCAAATGCACACAAAAAGTACACACCATTTAATGGAAGTTTCCCAAACAATGCTTGCATTCCCTATTCATTTTTAAATGCCAATTTAAACCCCTGTATGTATTTCCTGACTATTGGATTCAACTTGGAGTTTACCTAAGTCTCTTTAAATAGAAGACAAGACAAAATATTATTCTGCCTCCTCAAACTGGTAAGAGAAAAAAAGCATTCTGAACAAGGACAATGAAAATCTAATTAAACAAAGAGATAAAAATTTTAAATTTCCCCCTTCAACTTCTCTGAAGTTTACTCACCAGCATGGATAAGACATTGCCTCCTAGTAGGCCCCAGTGAAACATTTTTTTAACTTGGCATTAATAATCATTAAGTTGAAAACACTTAATACTATAAGCAGCCATGGAAAGTGAGTTAGGCCATTAGTAAAGACGTAGAGGAGACAGGAGTTTAAAAAGTTTATGAGCAAGAAGTACAGCAGGAAGTTAGAGCAGGAGATGCTGGCTTTTGAAGATGTCTTGAAGAGAGATAGTCTCAAGAGTGGTTCTTTCCTGACTCTGCATAAGAGTCTTGTGGGGGACGTGCCCTCATAATGTAAATCCCACCTTACCATTCTGGATATGGTGCTCATCTTTCCCACAGACAAAGTATTCTGTGCTCCATCTTCATGTATCTCAAATGCTGCATTGTCCATTGGCAGAAAGGATTGAACAATTCACTGAAAAAGAAAAAAGGGGAGAGGAAAAACAGTTTTAGGAAACTGGGAAAACTCCAAGAGAAGAATAAGAACTTGTGAGTAAGGAAATACTTATATAGACCTAACAGTTAAGGAACTTAAATAAGGAAGTTGTCACTCAAATTACCATCTTAGTTTAAAAAAACTAACATGAAAGGACTGTCAAACAAAAGGCCAATAAGATACTTGGCCTCCAATTCTTTGCCCACTGATAACACACACAAGTAATAATGATATTTAATGTTTACTCACTATGTTCCAGAAACCGTTTAACGTGTTTTACAAGAATGTAGCTTCATTATTACAGTATATCTATCAGGTGCTACAATTATTGCTATTTTTCAAATAAGCAAGCTGATGACACATGCACAGATCATAATAGCTAACTTTTACTTCCTCCTCTTACTACGTGCCAGGCACTGTGCTATGTGTTTTTCAAATGTGGTGATCTCATTATTACAGAAAGCCTATCAGGTGTTATAGCAATTTCCACTTTTCAGATTAGAAAACTGAGGCATAAGAAGTGCAGGAAATGACCCAAAATCATAGAGCCAGTTTTAGTTTGCTAGAGCAAGGCACCTTTTATCCTGAATTGGTAAATTGTATTACATTAGTACATTATTAGTAAGATGAAATCTTTTGCACATGAATCGGTCTTGCCTGTAAACAGTATGACTGGCTTTCCTAATAATTTATAAAATACTTACTTAATAGTTAAATCTTATAGAATTCACTTTGTATCATCTATATTGGTAATGACTGATGGCCTGACTGCTTGAAAAGCTTCTACTATAATTCACAAAACAGACATCTATCTTCCTTTCCTACCCATCTTCCCATCTTTATTCCTTCTATAAGCATGGCTGAATGTCTTCTACATTCCAGACTGTATGACATTCAAGTACATTTAGAAACCTTTGAGTAGCTCATAATCAAGCAGTAGAAAGAAAACAAGGCCAGGGGCTTAGCTCAGTGGCGGAAGTGCCTGCTTGGCAAATGTGAGGTTGTGAGTTTGATCCCCAGCACCAAAAAAAAAAGAAAGAAAGAAGAAAAAAACAAATAATTACAATAAAATTGCTAAGATCTATGTTTTAACAGTTATAGGTGTATATATAAGGTCCTATTGATATAGGGGAATGAAACTCCCGACCTACTATATCCAGTAGGAGCTCACATTCTCTAAAATCGAAGAATGACTTTTAGGAACAATGGAGGTTAAGAGTGAAATATATTTATTGAGAGAAAGAAAGCGTCTGTTTGAAAGCGACACAAGGGGGTCTGAGTGGGTTACCCAGGACTCTGTCTTTTCCAGGAACTTTATATAGAGTAAAACCATGGGTTCAAGGCGAGGGTGGAGGGAGGGACTGGGAACTCACAAGGCAGATGGGCATAAGGTGGGACATAACTATAGTTAGCCAATAAGATTAATAGTTCAGGTAAAATTAATTACATTAGCGACAAACGGGAAAACAAGTCACATAGGAAGAAGGCATTCTTAAGAGTTGTGACCTTTTCCCTACTGGGATGGGATAGTGACTCCAGGATGATAAGGAACTATTCAGAATATCAGTCTTTGGGATGTGGATGCATTTATTTGATCCTTTGTCTTGAGGCCTGGACCACAGCAGGAGGTGTCTGTCTCCCACAAAGTTGTAAGATATCCACATTGGCTCCGTTGAGGACCTAGCCCTGTCTCACTGCCTATAATATTTCTAACTAACTAGGCTGCCTGCAATACTATGAAGATGTAGAAAAAAAGTGCCTGAGGAGGCAAGAAAAGGGAAGTCCTACACTAAAGTGTAATTTAGAGCTAAGTCTTCAAGTCTCAACACAGCTTCATTGGGTAGGCACACTTGGTCATTGAGATTCTATCCTATATATCTGGCTTATATATAAGCAGCTTGAGAACAGACCACATGGTAAAAATGTAGACCCCCTCAGGGTTAGGCAGCATAGGCTGGAGGTAAACCTATGTCCAAGTGATAGAGGTTGACTGCAGAGATGTTTTTACTATATTTCATAAAATCTAAAATGCATAATTGTTCCACATTTTGAAATTTCTGAAAATAAGATGTATTTCAAAATAAGTGGTCTTTGAGACTCACTAAAACATAATATGGCCAGTTTTTTGGGAATAATACCATACAAACCTTTAAAGCAAGTTTTATACAATTATGGGTTTTGCTGATGTTTCTTTGAAATGTGAAAAATCCTGTCCTCTGACACCAGCATTATTTAGCCGTTACACTTAACATTTATTAAACAGCAGGATAAGGAAGTTATCAACCAAGCTGCATTTAAGCTCGCTGGCCCACTGAACCAAACACCTGCAGCAGCTGGATAAGGTCCTTTTGATCTTTACATATAAGAAAATAAGTGCGCAGGGAACTTAAATATTTTTCCCACAGAAGCAGAGGAAGACACACACAGAGTCAGACTCTGTCTGTCAGAGCTTTGCCCACAAATTCTATTTGCAGCAGGAGGACTTCAGGCCTTTTGATACATAAATGGTTCAGGATGGATTGAAGTAAGATAAAAAACCTTTCAAGGCAAGCAAATGTAATTGTGTAGTGCAATCCAAAACCTCACTTAAATAGTGGGAACACTATTTAAGATATTCACACTTACCTCAGAAATGAAGCTGGTTATGTAAGACCAAGAGTTTAGCAGGCTGAGAAGAAAAGACACAGAATTACAGACTGAGCAGATCCTATTAACAGCAGTCAACAAGTATGAGACATAGAAAATGGGTAGAAAATTGGTGACTTCATTTGGTGTTCATCTAATTACATATCTAGTAATCATTTTTAAACAAAGCTATATTATGTATATGCTGTAGCCAAAGACAAATTAACACTTCAAAGTTGGAAGAAAAATCAATAAATCACGCCAAATACTTCTACTTCAATGTTTAAACTACCATACTCCCAAGAAATACTTACTCAGGTTTTATATTTGTGCTGTCAAATGTAAAACTTTTTCAATTTAAACATAATTAGGATGAATGGACACTTCTCAGACTAAGAAATACAAATGGTAAATAAATATATGAAAATATGTTCAAAATTAGCAGTCATTCAAGAAATGCAAATTAAAACAATGCTGAGATTTCATCTCACTCCAGAAAGAAAGCTATTATCAAGAAATCAACTAATAGCAAGTGCTGGCAGGGCTGGAGTAAAAGGGAACACTTCTCCACTGTTGGTGCAAGTGAAAAACGATGCAACCACCATGGAAATCAGTGTGGAGATGCCTCAGAAAACTAAAACTGGAAGTTCAATTTAACCCAGCCAATCTCCTTCTTGGTATCTTCCTAAAAGAATTAAAAGTATCATACCACAGCGACAAATGCACACCCATGTATAGAAGTATAATTTGTAGTAGCTATATCTTGGAAACAGCCCAAATGCCCATCATTGGATGAATGAATAAAAATGTGATTGTTTTTACATAACAGAGTACTCCTCTGCCATAAAGAAGTATGAGCTAGAGACATTTCTAGCTAAATGGACACACCTTGAAACAATACTCTTTTTTTTTTGGTACCAGGGATCAAACTCACAACTTTGCACTTGCCAGGCAGGTATTTACACCACTGAGCTAAATCCCCAGCCTCTGAAACCATACTCTTAAATGAAATAACTTAGGCACACGTGTTTAAATATTGCATTGTTTCTTTGGTGTGAGAAAGCGAAAGTGTAAATAAGAATCAAAATATATGACAGATATTGGAAATGAAAAGAAAATGTTGAAATGGGAAGGAGAACAAGAAAGGGGGCAGGGAAAAAAGAAAGGGAGAAGAAAAATAGAATAGAAGGAAAAAGTGGAAACAAAGCTTTTGTAAATAAGAAGAAGAGAGGTTGAAAAGAAGGGAAAGGATTGGGAAAAAACCAAAAGGATCAAAATATATTAAGTACAGGTATAAATCCCCCACAATTAATGTCATTGGAGACCACTATGAAGTGGCTCTGAGCAGGATTTAAAATTAATTGGCTTTCTACGTTTATTTGTGAATCTGTCCTAGGCTTAGGCCCCTTGCCAGGCAATGGGAATGATTCATGATAAGTGAACCTTTCTGAATCACTGCACCTGGCTGAGGCCTGTAGTGGCCTGTGAGGCCAAGATACCCAAAGGGCAAACAAGGCCACAGCTGAGTTTTCTTCATTTTACCAGGCAATATTAGCTGGCTCAAATATCAGTTAAGTAGATAAAGACTGCAGCTGGAGGCAGTCTCACTCCTACCATAAATGTCATCATGGAGATAAGACAGTTCTCCTAAATTGGCATAATTTACTACTTGGAGAAGTCTTTGAAGTGACTCCCAAGGTTCTGCTCATTTCTCAGCACTTTCATCAGTGTCCCTGCTCTTTGTGTGGACCTACTAAATATAGGAAGTCCAGAGAAGCTCTTCGTCTTAGCCTGTGATAGCTGCAAAATCAAGAACTCTGAAAGAAGGTTTTGATCATCCTAGAGCCCTAAAATCATACTACTTGTCTCATTTACTTAAGCCTTCACTGTATACTCATTTGGGAGACTGGGGATCTAAGTCAGGCCCCAACAGAATGTGATCACTATGTATATCTAAAATACATCAATAAAGTTAACAAAAATATTTTACATTTAAAAATAAACATAATTAGGAAATAAAAATATCTTAAAGTGATCCATATTAACAATAACCACAATATACTTTAGTATCACATACTCCCTCATATGATACCTCAAATCTAAGGTAGCCATCCCCAAATTGCAAAAACTTTCATATCATCATGAAAAAAGATCAGAAATCCCAAATTGAGTGTTTTACATTTTTAAAAAAATGACATTTCAACATGGCAATAAGGGAAGTAATAGATTGAAGAAAGACAACCTATAGGAAGGGATGAAATATTCACAGATTAATCTGACACAGAATTAATATCCAGAATATACAAGAAATTCAGATAACTAAACAACAAGAAAACAAATAATCTGATTTTAAAATGAGTAAGTAACCTAAATAAACATTTCTCAAAGACATACTAAGGGCCAGCAACTATATGAAAAATTGCCCAACATTATTAATTATAAGAAAAATCCAAGTCAAAACCACAGTGAGGTATCTTTCAGTCCAATTAGAATGCTGATTTTTTTTTTTTTCGTCTTTTTCCTTTTTATCGGTACCAGGGATCGAACTCACAACTGCCTGCTTGGAAGGCAGGCGCTTATGCCGCTGAGCTAAATCCCCAGCCCTAGAATGCTGATTATTAAAAAAAAAAGTAAAAAGAATGAATGCTGGTAAAGATGCAGAAAAAAAGGGAACTCTTGTAAACTGCTGGTAGGAATGTAAACTAGTACAGCCATTGTGGAAAACAGCATAAAAAATCCTAAGAAAACTAAAAATACAATTCTTGATGATTCAGCAGTCCCACTACTGGTTACCTATCCAAAGGAAAACATTATATTGTAGAAACATTTGCACTTCTATACTTATTGAACCACTATTCCTAACAGCCAAGATGTGAAACTAATCACGATGTCCATCAATAGTTAAATGGGTAGGATATGGTATATACAAACAATGGATTATTTGGTTATTTAAAAATAAAATATTGATATTCTGTATTTTGAAGCAACATGGGTAGGGCTAAAACATGTGATGTTAAGTGAAATAAACAAGGCATAGAAACGCAAATGTCACATGTTCTTATTTATATATGGAAACTAAAAAGTTGATCTCATAAAAGTAGAGAATAGTGATCATCAAATGGGTAGGGAGGAGCAGAACTAGATTAATGGTAGGTAATTTGGGTGTAGATGGATAGAAGGAATATCTTCTAATGTTCCATAATACTGTTGGATAACTATGGTTAACAGCAATTAACTGAATATTTCAAACAGCTAGCAGAGAGGATTCTTGAATGTTCCCATCAAAGAAATAACAAAAATCTGATGTTACAAGTCAACTATTTTGATTTAATCATTACAAATTGTATATTAATCTGGAAATATCACATTGTATCCCATGCATGTGTCAATTGAAAATTTAAGATACATCTGTTTAAAGAAAAGTGAAAAGATCAAAAGAAGAAAAAGACAAGAATTGTTACAGATCAAGATGACAAAGGAAACATGACAATTAAATCGGTTAAATCACAGGAACACAAAAGTGACATTACAGGAAAAACTAATGAAATCTGAGTAAGGTCCATACGTAGCTAACAGCATTATGCTAGAATTGCTAAATATTGGCTATTATTGTGTAGGTGATAATATAAGGAGGTGGCAGAAATATAGTCAGGAAATTACCTTGACAGCTCTAAAATTCTGTCAAAATAAGAGTTAAAAAGAAAGGGACAACCCACTCGGGAGCACTTCTGTCTGTCGGTCCATTTCTCTCTCTCTCTCTCTCTCTCTCTCTCTCCCCCCCCTCTATCTCTCTCAGTAAATATTTCTGCTCTTAACCTCCATTGTTCCTAAAATTCATTCTTCAATTTTAAAGAACATAAACTTGTACTGGATACATAGTAGGTCAAGAATTTCATTTCCCTGTGTATTATTTGGAAATCTCCCACTGAGATCATTGGACAAAGGTAAGAGTTTGCCTTTTCTTTCATAGACTCTGGCCTGGGATTCATTTATATAACAAATTTTTATGCTTCAAATTTTGCTTTTGAAAGAGTTTTGCCCAGAATAAATTACAGAACATTATGGTGGTTGAAGCCAAGTCGGGAATGTTTAGCCTGAGGTCACTACTTTAACCTTTATTACAACTTCCTTTTTTCCTTTCCTAGTGCATGCAAAGAAAATTCCAATCAGCTCCTTGTGCATCATCAATGCCCGCCCTAAGCAGCATCTCTGGTCAAAGGTTACATATACCCCATACTCCCATATTCAGACAAAGGAAAGGCCAGACTGCTATCAGTTGTGGGCTCCTCTCCACGTCCTTGGAATAAAGGCCACTTTCACTTTTTCTTATATTCTGCTCCTTTATTGTGCTAAAAACTCTAAAAGTCTGGTGCTGAAACCCCGGAGCTGGCAGAGTATGTTGGCTCATGGGAGCCACTCCCAGTTCAAGCTCCTGGCCTATCTAGGAACCATTTCTTGGAATCATGTCTCGTTTCTGCAGAACCTGTTTATTTTCTGCCATCAGTCTACATAAAACACCAGCCTATCTCATTTAACCACAGGTGAGCCATTTCCCTTCAGGGGTTTTGTTTCCATGGGCCAGGCTCACACCAGATAACCCGCTGCTGTCCCTGGACAAAGAGAGCAGTTCTCACATTCCTTGGACAGCAGAGCTGTTACTTTCTCATCCTCTAGGACTCCAACCTGCACTTTTTGGTGATGACCAATGAGATCAGATTACAACCTTCCATATCACACCTCCAAAATAGGTGATGACTTCTTTTGATAAGTGTGATCCAGGACAACTTTCATGTTTCTTGGGGGAAGCTAAAGCTCTTACATCCCGAAGCAAAGTTGTTCTTCTGGCTCACTTTTGTTCTTTTTTTTTTTTCTTTTTTCTTTTCTTTTGTTTGTTTGTTTGTTTTTGTCTTTTTGTCTTTTTGAGACAGGCTCTCACTATGCAGTTCAGGCTGGCCTTGAGCTTACTTTGTAACCTAGGCTAGTCTTGAACTCACAACAATCCTCCTGCCTCAGCCTCCAGAGTGCTGGGATTACAGGTGTGAGCCACCACACCTGGCTTTTTGGCTCACTTTTAATTCAGTCAATTTGGAATACTATTCCCTGTCCCCCAAAAAACATATCTCTGGGGTGCCTGGTTTATAATCTTGGTGCTCTTGGCCCAAAGAAGGCTATAAAATCCAAAAACTAATCTTCTACTTCCAGGTGGCTTGGCTAACCTACCTACCAGCTTAATGGCAGCACATGGCCTAAAGGGAAAACATTTGACCCCTGTATTTTTCAAAATTTATATAACTTGTGTCACACTGACAGCAAGTTAGCAGAAATCTTATATGTA